GATTCTATGATTCTATGATTCTAATGCTCAAACCACTGAGCTATTTCCCCCCCGTTGTGATTATGGATTAGTAGAAATATTTAAATATTTGTCTCTCATTCTGAGGTCACACTGAATTGTACAGTGGTACAGCCATTGTTATCAGAACCATCAGATGATCACTGTCTACTTGAAATGTATTTGTATTGGTATTGCGGTAATGATTAGGACCCCATTGTGCTAGGCACTGTATAAATATGGAACAAAAAATCAGTCCCTGCCCCAAGGAGCTTAGACTCTGCTCAATTAAAAAAATGTAGAATCATGTACTGCACCTGCCTCAGTTTCTCTGCCATTTTTTTAAATTGTTTTTTTAATCACATTTTCCTGTTTTGGGTTTTTAAAAAACATCTTTTCCCTCTTGTTCTGTGAAGAATCTATACAAACTGAGGGGCCAATCCTGCAAAGACTTACACATAAGCATCTCTGCTCACCCTAGAGCCACGAGGTTCATTTGATGTAGGTCCTGATCCTCCAAAGTCTTAACTGGCTAGTCAAGGGGGATAATCTGAGATTGTCTCGCTTGTGGATTTGACAGCACTTTGTGTATGAACAAAATAAACTAAAAATTAGAGGATTTTTTTGGTCTCATCTTTCAGTTACAGAACTCTTAGGAGTTTGTTGTAGCTTCAGTACATTTTAAAAAAAAAATCAGTCTACTTAACTTTAAGATTACTTGTATTTTGCCTTTCATGGGACTTGATTCAAAGCCTATTGAAGTCAATGGGAGACTTCTGACCCAAAATGCACGAGTGAATGTGGAACAAATAACTGGATTTACATTCACTTTTTTCTCCTGCTGAGCTTGTTGGCTTGTGGCTTTTTGGTGCTACAGTGTAGGGATGTGCCATGTTCAGAGGTAAATGCCTGCAGTATTCTTGCTGCTCCCAAACTTACCAACTTCAAGCATTCAAAAATCACAAGATTAGCTTAAAAATCAGTATTTTTCAAAAATAAATGTAGGGTTTTTTATTATTTACCTTTTAGTATCTGAGCCTTTAAGGGTGCATTTAGATCACATTTTAAAGCTTTTTCTCTGCAGTTATGAGGGCCACAAACTTTTTTGTTTTAAGGAAAAGCTGATTTTCATCTAATTACAGGACTCCAGCAGCAGCTAGAGCTTTAAAAAATACACCAAATAGTGAGATTAGCAACATTGCTTCCAGCCCACCCACTCCTTTTTCAGGACCCCTTTGTACTGGATTTTTTCCAGACCCCAATTTATACCTTCTCCCTGAATGACTTATGCCAGAGGGGCCTTGCTGCTGACAGAGAGAGGCTACACGGGTCTCTCGTCAGAATGTATTAGAATAACTTCTAGCTTAGGCAAAGAAGTCCCTGCAGAAAAATGCAAGCTGCTCTTTCGCTTGGGAAGCTAATCACACTGCCTCTGCAGCGCTCAATTCCTTAACAGCCTTGGCAGCCATGAGACCAGACTCAGAAATAATCAAATGCAGGTTTTTCACTTGGTAGCTCAGAGCACTAACCAGAATGCAGGAAGAACCAGCCCCAGGCTTTGTCTTTTTGAAAAAAGAGCCCTGATGCTATCTGCCAGCACACCTCCAGCAGGAGCAATACAGCAACATTCCAGAAGCTGAAGGGTGGGGTGATATTTAACAAGCGGGCAACTACAAAAGACACTTCACTTGCCCTGGAACAAAAGAAGTATTAAAACTTCCTCTGAATTCAGATAACTTGTTGGGGGGAAATCTCATGGTTGTTTTTTATTCTTCCAAAAAGGTAAATGTTCTGTTTCTGAAACACCTGTTAATATTCTGTGAACATTAGACCTTCAATGTGATCATTTACATACTGATAGGAATCTGTAGGGAAAGTTCAATAAAATGGCTCTGTTTGCTAAAAAAAACTGATTTTAATTGATAATTGAGTAGAGGGGGGAAGTGGTGGTCCTGTTTGCTTTAGGTTTAGAGGATCAGATTCTTATCATTGCATCACTGTAAATATGAAGTTTACACCACTGACTTCAATTTATGATTGAGAAACTGAGATCAGAATCTGGCCCAGATAGCTGAGCATTGGTCTAAGACTTCTTTATTTGGACCCCAGCAGTTGTCCATAAGCCATGTCTTTTTTTAAATTACAAAAATATATATTTCTAAGGTACAAAAGCTCTCCTTGCCTTATATAATAAATTCAACAATGTCAGCATTGAAAGTTGACTTTAAAAGATTGTTTGTTTAACTTGGTAACCTAGCAAGCTTGTTTTGTTTTGTTTAAAGTTCGAATTGCTAACCTCAGTTGTTTTCACAGGACGCACCTTTCCAACACATCCTTATTTCTCAGCACAACTGGGAGCTGGGCAGCTGTCACTCTACAATATTTTGAAGGCCTATTCTCTTCTGGACCCGGAAGTAGGGTATTGCCAGGGCCTTAGTTTTGTAGCAGGAGTTCTGCTGCTTCATATGACTGAAGAAGATGCTTTTAAGATGTTGAAGTTTCTTATGTTTGACATGGGCCTAAGGAAACAGTATCGTCCCGACATGACTATTTTACAGGTATTTGTATTTATGCCTCTGTAAAAAGGATGCTGCTAATAATAGCAATATAATTTGTTAGTGATGTGATTGTCAGATTCTGCTTTTTGACTCCACTCCAGAATCACTAAAGAGGAGAAGGGGCGCTATAAAGAGGATTAGATCTTAAAGAGATTTATGTTTCAGTTTGAGAGAGGCCATTGGGAAATTATGAAAAACACACACAACTCTGTTGCTTATGACTAATTTACATTCAAGTAGCCCTTGTATGAAAGTGTCTTCAGATAGCCCTGCATAGTTTGCTATTGTAGGGAGAAAATACAGGGAACCCTGAAACAGGGAGCATTACCTCTGCCAGCTTAGGGGTGAGAGGGATGGTTAATGTGGGCAATCATGAAGTGCTACCCACTGAGTCACTGAAAAGGCTCCAGGTTACTTTAGTTTCTTATAAGTGTGTTTGAACATTAATTGGTAGATATTTTTCACTCCTTCTTTCTCATGAGAAAGTGTAGCATGAGCTTTGTTCTTATAACTTCCAGCTAGTCTGTTATTCTTAGTCAGTTCTTCATTTCTCTTTCTCTTCTTTGCAGATCCAGATGTATCAACTTTCCAGACTTCTTCACGATTACCATAGAGATCTCTACAATCACTTGGAGGAGCATGAGATTGGCCCTAGTCTCTATGCTGCTCCCTGGTTTCTGACCATGTTTGCCTCTCAGTTTCCCCTGGGATTTGTTGCCAGAGTGTTCGGTAACTCTTCATAAAAATACCTTTCTGGTCTTCTTGAAACTGTGTTTGCATTGCTACAGGTTCCAGCCTGTTTCATACACCTAAGACAATATTTATCCTATTTTTGATTAATAGTCCCTTCCACTGATGTATTGTGTAGTGACAAAAGTCAACTTATAGGCAGTGAAGTGTGGAGTTTATAGCAAAATGCTGTTCAGAGACAGTAGAAGGTTGGAACTGGCTGTCTTGTCTCTTCACCTCTATTGTTAATTTTTTTCTCTTTGGATTTCCTCATTCTTCTCATTTCAGCTGAGTGCTATAATACTTCCCAATTACTGAGCCTTCCTGCGTTCATTAAGTTGGAAATCCCACTTCAGCAATGTCCCAGGCTTTCCCTTCACAAAGGAATGCTGGCATTGCTGCAGTGAGGCTATACCAACATTGTTCTGTGCTGTATAATCATGCTAACTTTAGCCTGCTTTGCTCCTGAAGTATTCAGTGTGGATCTAATCTTTTCATTTAACATCTGGTCGGACACTTTCTGAGATTTTACACTGTTCTGCTTGCCTGACTCCAGACCCATCATTGCCCATTCTCTTGCAGGCATTACATCTGTTGTTGATGTAACTATTCCTTATATATTTTCAAGGTTCACCAGTATTCCATATGCACTAATCCTCTCATATCTTATTTCTGGTGTCCCTTTGTTATAATAGTAACTGTTAGATTTTTGTCCGTCCCTTCAATTTAGCTTGCATAAATGAACTCATAGAGCCTGTTCCCTCTCATCCCCTTTTACTGACATCACAGAGTTCTGCGTACAAGTGGTGAGTAGGTCTCTCTGTCTTTCTCTTTACACCTTCGGGCAAGCCTACACTACCGTGTTACATCGGTGCTGCAGCACATCTGGTGAAGATGCACTATGCCGATGGGCGAGCGCTTTCCCATCGGCATAATTACTCCACCTCCGCAAGGGGTGGAAGCTATGTCAACGGGAGAGAGTCTCCCAACAACGTAGTGTAGTATGGACACTGTTTTAAGTCGATGTAACTTACACCGCTCAGGGGGGTGTTGTTTTCACACCCCTGAATGAGGTAAGTTATATCGACTTAAGTGGTAGTGTAGATCTGTTGACTTTCTGTACGTTGCTTCCACCCTGACTTCAACATTCTGAATCCTGGATCAATCTCTTCGATCCTTTGTATTAGAACTTGTGGTCCATCTCTTTCATCAGCATTTTCTCTTTCCAATATCTCCCAATGAATATGGGGCTAGATATTCTAGGAGCTATTTGCCTAACATTTTATTATTAGGTGAACAAGACCAGTATTGTCACACAGTGGTCTAGGAATACAATACAATACATACTCAAGAGGGGCACGAAACCAGGCAATTGGTGTCCCATGACTAAATCAGTATACCCATAAATGGGTGGCTCAACTAACTATACATACATATTGAAATAAAAAGTGTGTTTTTGCCTGGATCACTGTAGTGGAGCCATGCTTAGATGAATGACTTGCCTCACTAAGAATAAATACAGTGGCCAAAAGTTAATAAGACACAACACTTATTTCAACCAAATTGGTTGCTTGCTTAGGGCAGTGGTTCTCACCAAGGGTACGTGTACCCCTGGGGTACATCAACTCATCTAGATATTTGCCTAGTTTTACAACAGGCTACATAAAAATCACTAGTGAAGTCAGTGCAAACTAAAATTTCATACAGACAATGGCTTGTTTATACTGCTATATATACTGTACACTGATATGGAAATACAATATTTATATTCCAGTTGATTTATTTAGTAATTATATGGTAAAAATGAGAAAATAAGCAATTTTTCAGTAAGAGTGTGCTATGACACTTGTATTTTTATGTCTGATTTTGTAAGCTAGTAGTTTTTAAGTGAGGTAAAACTTGGGGGTATGCAAGACAGATCAGACTCCTGAAAGGGGTACAGTAGTCTGGAGAGCGACTGGCTTAGGCAGTAGGCAGGAGCTGATGCATGTAAGATTCAAGGAGACAGTATAGCACAGAGGTGCTATATATCCTAGAAATACATTAGCTTCACGGCACAAAGAAACACATCGAGAGAAACATACAATCAAGCATTGTTTTCAGAGCATAGGAACTGTTGTAAAATCAGTGGTCCACATACTCCAGTATGCTTGCGTCCAAAATTGTCTGGGCCAGCTGCTTCTGAAAGTGGTGCAAAAAACCTTTCAGTCACAGTTATGGAACAACTTCTCCACAGGGAAAGTTTCTTCCTAAATAACATTTAGTTAGTTAGAGATTGGGTGATGCCCTGAAGAATAACCCTGGCTATTTTAATAATGGCTATTAAGTAAAATTTTCAAAAGCACCTAAGTCCCAACATGGTTTAGGCTGCTGTATCACTTTTTTGAAAATTGTTACCCATTGTCTGCATCCATGTAAATGTCCAGTTCTTAAAAAAAAAAAAAAATCCTATTAAGAACTTGGCCTCAATAATATCATGTGGCAATGAGTTCCGTATACTAACTTCATGTTACGTGAAAAGGTATTTATGTCCTTTTATCAGTTTTAAATGTTCTGCTTTTCTATTTCATTGAATGTTCCCATGATCTTATTCTTATGAGAATGAGCACTTCTATTTACCAGTCTACCTTCTCTATGCCCTTCATCATTCATATATCTTTAGC